ATTTTTTGTTGCTCTTGGAAATGCAATTAGTACTCTGGTATCACAGCGCACACTTCTCAGGTTCGCGCTGTCTCCTGGCACGGCCGCTCCAGACCCGTCGCCATCTTGGAATTCTAGACCTGTAAGTTTCTGAGGCTGAGAAGTCCAACGTCTGTCTGGTGGTGGCAACAGTAACCCAGGGGTCTCACATTGCAAGATGGTGGAAGCAGAGGGAGCAGGGCAGAGAGAGAGACAGACTCTCCTCTTCTTTTTTATTAAAATTCTCTTTTGTTTCAAATCCAGCCATGATTTTCTTGTCCCCCTCATTTGTGTTTGTCTTCTTTTTCCTGGACATTGGCTCCAAGAACCCACACTAAGTCCTCTCCTGGAAGTCCCTTCTGGGGCAAAACCCCAGACTCCTTCATTTCTGATCACACTTCAAGCCCCCAAATGCTCGCCACTTTCCTTTGAGAGTCTCCATGTCTTTCTTTTCACTGCCACATGCACAGGAGCCTGAGTCGATGAGCTGGCTCACATTCTAATATGCAAAAGATTATAATCAAAAGCAAATTAAGCAACTAAAGTTTAAAATGAAAACAGGGATGTGGAAATGCCAGTTCAGATAATGATCCGCTGTGTTTACACATAGTCACTGCTAGAAATGGACTTTGAAGGCCCAGATTCAAGTCTCAGCATGTTAGGCAATTTGCTTCACCCTCTCTGGGCCTCAGTTTCCTTATCTGGAAAGGGGGGGTTCCAAAAGTCCCTACTTCCTGGAACTGGTGACAATGAAATGGTGCATGTGAAAGATGGCCCAGTGCCTCGAGTGAAGCCAGGGCCCAGATACCTGCCATTGGTTCTCACTGGCTGGCTGTGATAGAAGAATAAACACATGAGCTGCACCCAGGGCCTGCCGACATGAGAGATCACTTCTGGGGTTCCAGAATGTCTTCAGCAAAATGTAGAAAAATCGGGCCGGCCCGGTGGCGCACTGCTACAGTGCCCCACTTGGGAGCGTGGTGGCGCTCCCGCCGAGGGTTCGGATCCCACATACAGACCAGTTCCTGCTCACTGGCTGAGCGAGGTGTGGGAGCAACACCGAGGGTTGCGATCCCGTGGCCGGTCCCAGTCCGGTGCGGGCGCGACACTGAGGGTTGCGATCCGTTGCCGGACATGAAAAAAGACAAAAAGGAAAAAAATATGTAGAAAAATTTCCAGGCTAAACTCTCCAATCACAAAGTAGTTGGAAATCGAGCTCCTTGGCCTCTTTTGCAGCACCACCACCTGCCCTTTCCCCCACACCCACACGTACATGAAAAGCAGCCCTGGCACGAAGCTCTCCTTCTCCTGGGTGGGACAATCAAGCTCACCCAGGGCTGTCCCAGGCACCCCGAGGAACATGTGAGACCCTGAGAAGTAACAGCCCAAGTCTTCCCCCAGCTCAGCCTCAGGCCCTGCTTTGACAGGAGGGGAGAGGTGATAGGAGGTGTCCCTGCCCTCCAGGGAGTGGTGCCCCAATGCCAGGCTTGTTTCCAATCCCTAAACATCCCTCTTTTTTCTCTTTCAGAATGTCTGTGTGTCCATGGAACATGCGACAACGGGATAGACAGTGACGGGGCCTGCCTTGCAGGCACATGCAGAGACAGGTCCACTGGGAGACTCTGTGACAAGCAGACCTCAGCCTGTGGGCCTTACGTCCAGTTCTGTCACATCCACGCCACCTGTGAATACAGCAATGGGACAGCCAGGTAGGCCTGTGAGGGGAAAGCCCTTAACAACCCATGACCACTGTGCTATGCATAGATAGAGTCAACCCATATCAAGACTGTTTGTACAAAAGGCCCATTCTCTCCAGCTGACAGTGCGGCTTTCGTGGAAAGAACCTTAGACTGAGCTGGATTCAAACTGCGGCACTCCCTGCTTCAAAACACACCAGCTGTGTGACCTTGGACAGCTCCTTAACGTCTCTGGGCCCCACTTTCTCATCAGTACAGTAGTAGAATAGTGATACCCACCTAGCAAGAGCCATGGTGGAGATTAAACAAACTGAACTGAAAAGCACCCAGACCAGGGCCAGCACATCACGGGTACTCCGTCATAGAAACTATAATTGTCATCATCACACACGTGAAAGAAATGAAGATTTGTCCACCAGCTTTCCAACCTTTGAAAACACCTTTACTTCCTAATCCTGTTAATATTTAAAGGAAAGTGGGTCTTAAGTCAATGGATCACCATTTGTTTCCTTAATACTATCGAATATCTACAGTAGGCTCCACGTGTGTCCACTCATGGAATCTTCACTGCAGGCTTGTGCAGGGAGTGTTAGACCCATCTTCCAGATGAGGAAACAAAGTCTCTCAGTTGTTAAGGGATTCATGCAGGGTGACACAACTGCTAAGAGGTGGGGCCTGGATTCCCACCCAGGTGTGTCTGACCACAGACCCCAGAAGTACCCCCGGCCACCTTTAACACTGGCTTCCTCCACAAGCGCACACCGTCAAGCCACCTGGCCATGAGCTGGTTCGTGCCCGTCTGGCTGGCCCTTTTCTGGGTGGTCGGGGCTTGTGTTTTTGTGGCTGATTTTGTGCATTCTTTTTGGCAGCTGTGTTTGCAAAGCAGGATATGAAGGGGATGGAATTCTCTGTTCCGAGATGGACCCTTGTGTGGGATTAATCCCAGGAGGCTGTAACCGCAATGTGAGTTTTGGTCTTTACCTTCGAACTGTACATGGTTGGTTTTTTTTTAGGAAATCCTGAGGCAAGACATTCCAAAAACAGTGTCTGATCATTATTCATACGCAGGAAGCACTTATGTTTGAATCTTGGATTTTTAAAGACGGCTGCTGGGTGCTTTCTGTAAGCTTCCACTTCCTAAATCCAGATGTGCAAGGAACTTTGGGCACTTAGAAAAACACAGCCTGAGAGAGAATCAGATATTGAAATGAGTCATAATAACTCTTGATTTAAATTTTACAGCTTTCAAGGGAATTTAATGTACCTGATCTCATTAGCTCCTCCCACCAACAATGAAGTAGATATTGTTATTCCGATTTTACTGAGGCTCTGGGAAGTTAAGTGACTTGCCCTCAGTTCTATCAATGTTAGGCGTGTAGCCAGAACCTACCACTGCTTTCACTCACACCTTTTGAATATCACCACCACCCCTGACCCTAGTCACCTTCATTTCTTACCTATGGTTTCTTGCTTCCTCTCTTGCCTTCCCTTAGTACATTGTCCACCCCCAGCCAGAGTGGCTTATAGTGAATCAGACCATGTTCCTCCCAGACTCAAACCCCTCGGTAACTTCCCCTAGCTCTGAGGATAAAATCTAGACCCAACTGCCTGGCCCTAGCCCACCAGATTCCCCTTGGGCAATCCATGCCCCGCTCAGTCAACCTCATCCCAGCAACTTACCTTGTACCTCTCTCTCCTTCTCACCCTGTCCTTCAGCCCCCTGGGGTGGTCATCTTGAGAGGCCCGGGAGTTGGTACAGTGGTTAGGAGTTTGGACCCTGACAGTATAGAGACCTGGGTTTATGCTCTTTGTAGCTGTATGATCCTGTTTCCTTACCTGTAAACTAGAGATAAAAACAGTTCCTTCCTCATGATTGTTCATACTTGCAAAACAATAAAAAAAATAAAAACTTGCTTAATAACTGGTGGTTTCATAATGATGTTAGTGTTGGTGGCCATTAGCTGGCCAGCTCCAAGCAATTTTGCTCTTTAAATCATCTAATCTTTTGATTGATCTCACTGCAAATAAGCATTTCAGTCAATTTTCATTGCATTCTATGCACGAATGTGTTTCTAGAACATACCTCTGGAAATCCTTTTTTACTTTTGGAATCATGTGGCTGGACTGAGGTTTCAGAGGTTTTGCTCTGTCTTTTCCTCCTGCAGGCAGAATGCATCAGAGCTGGCGTGGGGACGCACTCCTGCGTGTGCCAGCAAGGGTGGACAGGGAATGGGAGAGACTGCGTGGAGATCAACAACTGCCTGCTGCCCAGTGCTGGCGGCTGCCACGACAATGCGACCTGTTTGTATGTGGGTCCCGGACAGGTACGTTGGACATGGCAGAGCACAGACAGGAAGCAGAATTCCTGCAGTGACATTTTATTTCCCTAGCCACAGAAGAACTTCAGTTAGAACTTACTGCGCACATTTTTTTATCACTTGTAGCAGTGACTATGGGCTAATTGTCACAACAAACCTATGATGAGGTGTTGTTATTATCCCATCTTTTAGAAGAGAAAATTGAGGCGCCAAGTGGTTGTCATTCGCTCACGTCACATAGAAAATAAACCACAGTGCAAGTTTCATGCCCAGACAGTCAGACTCCAGAGCTGTCCCCTTAGTCAACACCCTGAACCCCACCTTATGCTTCTGTAACTATTGGTCACTTTCACTTACCCTCATTGAATGGAGACCAAGGCAGAGAAGGCTGCTGCTTGGGAACTAATCAGCCCCAGGAAAGCTAATACCAACTGCACTAGGACTGTGGCCTTGGAAAAGATGAGGTCACTGATCGGGGTCTCACTCCCCATCCAGCCCCACGTGCTTCCACCCTGTGGGACAAACAGGTGTGTTGTGTAAGGCGAAGGAGGTCAGAAGACATGGAAGTTGGGAACAAGGATCGGAAATCACCCCCTGTCTTTTTGATTCTTGATACAATTTTTCACTGCTGAGCTTTTTTACAAATCTCCAAATTATTCTCTGCTCTTTGAGAAATGTATTTCTTCCCACGGTGACAAGCGCTGTTTGTGATGAGGCCTAACCTTGCTCACCATGACACCTCCCCGGCTGCCATCCCGAGCCTTTTGGTTCTTGGGCCTCTCATTTCTGTGCACATATTAATACACAGGGGAACACAGAGCTTGAATGGGACTAGATGGAATATGAAAGACCACCTCACACCTTCCCTTTCCTTTGGGGAGGAATCCACCCAGACAAATGGAAATCTGGTCTGTTTAAGTGTGTCAAAGGGTGGAGTCTCCAGCACCTCCTCTGCCACGTCAGCCAGCATTCCCATTCATTCTCACTCCACTCCTTCAGCTTCTGTCCTGTGGGGCCAGTGCAGGGCTGGACACTTGTGCAGATGTGAAGGGATAACCAGCCTCACATGGCCAGAAGTGTAGGGGCCTCTCAAGGGCTCATCACTACCAAAGCAGGTGATCTGTTTGGAAATCTTTTCCAAGACATCCCTGCATGTGGTTAAAGGACAGTAAACATGATTAGGAGAAAGGGTCAAAGGAAACAGAACTGCCTGGCCAAGAACATGGCCATCTGCCACCGTAGCCCACCTTCCACTCCTGAAAGCAGATGGGAGATGGAAGCATCACCCCCAGGCAAAGCCTCGAGTTCGATGTACATGTAGGTACAGCTGGGGGTAACTGTTTCAATAGACCCCAGTAGGTGCTTCTCAGGGAGTGACAGTTGGTAAAGGGGCAGGGTTGGGGGTACCGTATCATGGGGAAATCTTTTAGTTATAACAGAAAACCCAATTACTTGTGCACCGCTGGTAGGAATATAAAATAGTGCAGCCACTATGGAAAACAGTGTAGTCATTCCCCCCAAAAAATAGAGTTATCATATGATCCAGCAATTGCATTTCTGGATGTATACCCCAAAAAATCCAAAGCAGAAACTTAAGCAGATATTTGTACACCAGTGCTCATAGCGGCTTTATTCACGGTGGTCAAAAGGTGAAGTGACCCAGGTGTCATCCACAGACGGATGGGGAGACAAAATGTGGTTTACATGTACAATGAAATATTATTTGCCTTAAAAAGGAAGGAAATTCTGACACCTGCTATGACATAGATGAACTTAAAGATATTATACTAAGGGCCGGCCCGGTGGCGCACTGCTACAGTGCGCCACTTGGGAGCGCAGTGGCGCTCCCGCCGAGGGTTTGGATCCCACATACAGACCGGTTCCCGCTCACTGGCTGAGCGAGGTGCGGAGGTGACACCGAGGGTTGCGATCCCTTGCCGGTCCCGGTCCAGTACGGGCACGACACTGAGGGTTGCGATCCGTTGCCGGACACGAAAAAAGACAAAAAGGAAAAAAAAAAAGATATTATACTAAGTAAAATAAGCCAGTCACAAAAGAACAAATACTGTCATTCCACTTATGTGAAGTCCTGAGAGTAGTCAAATTCATACAAACGGGAAGTGGAAGGGTGGTCGCAAGGGACTGGGGGTGGGGGGATGGGGAGTCAGTGTTTAATGGGTGGGGACAGAGTTTCAGTTTGGGAAGATAAAAAAAAGTCCTGGAGATGGATAGGGGTGATGGTTGTCCAATAATACAAATGCCACTGAACTGTACACTTAAAAATGGTTAAAATGGCAAGTTTTATGTCATATATATTCTACCACAAGTTTTTAAAAAGAGGTAAAGAAAGAAAATGCAATTAAAACTGGTTTAAACAGAAAAGAGAATTTTGGGGGGGGCCAGCCCGGTGGCGCACTGCTACAGTGCATCACTTGGGAAGCGCGGCAGCGCTCCCGCCGAGGGTTCGGATCCCACATACAGACCAGTTCCCGCTCACTGGCTGAGCGAGGTGCGGGAGCAACACCGAGGGTTGCGATCCCGTTGCCGGTCCTGGTCCGGTACGGGCGCGACACTGAGGGTTGCGATCCGTTGCTGGACACGAAAAAAAAAAAAGGGGGGGGGGAGGAGAAAGAAAAGAGAATTTTTTGGATCTAGCTGCAGGTACAACATCATTCAAGGCTCATAAAGGAGCTATGCCTTGATCCAGCTCCTTTTCAGGCTCCCGGAGGAGGGGTGGCCTCCAGCAACTTCAGGCTTGTATCATCACAATGCTTAGTTACTCAGAATAGAGAAAGTTTTCTGGTAACTTCCACCAAAAGCCCAGGATTCATTCTCTTTCACGGGCTCAAATGGAGAGCTTTCACATCCCTCCTCGTTTCCTGACACTCCTGTCAGCCCTGTACTCAGTTACAGAAGTCAGGCGCTGTGGCCAAGGGTGTGGGATGCAGTAATAAGCTTCACCAATGCCCTGTGCCTCCATGCATTTTATCATGTGGACTAGGAGAGGGGGAGTGGCAGTGTCCCCAAAGCCATATGGGGGTGCAAGCTTCCGAAAGGAGAGAGAACGGATGCTAGGCAGACAAAATAAAACAGATGTTCACATATCCACTCGTTTATTCCTTCCTTCATCCAGCACTTCTCAGGTGCCTACTCTGGCTCAGCCACTGGGCTTGGTGGTGGGAGCAAGAGATTACTGTGGCCAGGGCCTCAGCCAGAACTGGAGAAACTCAATCCTATGCAAAGCAACAAATATATGAATAACACAAAGTGATAAATGCTGTGCAATCCATGCAGAGAGAGCTCCGTGGTCAGGTTGTTCCAAGCAGCTTTCCTATTTATCCTTCTGGTTTCTCTGACAGCAGATCCTCCTCATGGGTCTGGAGTAAATTAGCTTTAAAATGTGGCCCCCCGAGTCCTAATCATGGCAGAGCTCGCTCCACTCTTATGCCTCACCGAGCATTTAGTAAATGATTGCATTCGTTTTTAACTCACTTGAGTTGCCAGATCTCATTTGAGGATAGAAAAGAAAAAAAATGTCCTGGTGTCTATTAATTTTCTAGAGCTGCCATAACAAAGTACCACAAACTGGGTGGCTTAGATAACAAAAATGTATTGTCTCACAGTTTTGGAGGCTGGAGGTCTGAGGTCAAGGTGTCCTCAAGGCTGGTTCCTTCTGAGGGCTGTCAGGAAGACTCTGCCCATGCCCCTCTCCTACTTCAGGTGGTTTGCTGGTGATCTTGGTCTTCCTTGGCTTGTAGACTCGTCACCTCGACCTCCACATTGATGGTCACATGGCATTCTCCCTGCATGTATGTCTGTCTCCAAATTTCCCCTTTATATCTGGGATTGCCCTCAGTTGGTACTAGTTGGCTTGAAAACATTTAGACATGCCAAATAAGCACAAACCCTAATTACGATGAATGTTGCTTTAAAAAGGCAAATCGTGTTTAGGTGGATATGCCAGGAGGTTTTCAAGGATGGAGGTGCATGGAGGTGCTACCCCAAGGCCAGGTGAAGAAAATTAAACAGCCTTGTTGATAAGGTCTTGCTCTACTATGTACAGTTGTATACACGTGCTTCTGTACATGGTTTACCTGTACAAATATGCAAATATACACATTTACCTTACAGAGCATACACAGCAGATAATACTGATACTTTTAAAGATAAAAATTTATAAATAGGACTTCTATTTATTTCATCCCACAGCCTAACAGGTTGCCTTGTGTCCCCTCTGTGATGCATGCATCTACTTTAGAGACCAGTCCATGAATAATCCTTTTCCAATCAAACCCACAGGCTTTCCCACCTCTGTTCATTTCTCTTGACATTGGCCCTCAGCTTGAACAGCCTCTCCACCTCTCCCAAGTTGCAGCCACATCCCACTCCCCAGAAGAACATTCCCAGCCCATCCCCTCCTCCTCTGAACAGCAGTCGTCCTCATCATATACATAACTCATGGGCCAGTTACTCCATAAGGCTTATAATATCTCTTGTTTTCCAGTGTCTATTAAGGGTGGACTCTTCTTACTTACTTTCCATGTACTTGTGCTTTGTTTTCCTCTAGGTTCATTGCTGGTTCCATAATAGTTCCATAATACCTGTTTTTTTTAATCTGTTGAAGAAATTTCTCCCTTTTACATTATGTTTTAAAGTTCAAAATGTTACATGATCATGGAAAACATACTGGAAAATAAAAAAGTAGAGAAAAAATAAAATCACTCACAGTGTCCCCACAATCACCATTTATACAAAATGTATTTTTCCTTCTGGTCTTTTTTTTTATGCATAGGTTTTTATTTTCCTTTCCATTATTGTGATCAACTACAGTTTTGTTGGTTCCTAGTCTGCGTTTAACACAACATTTCCCCATTTTTCACACAACCCATCATCATCATCATCATATTTAATAGCTGCATGGTTGGGGCCATTGCTTCTACGGTTTAGTTTGCATACAGCGCAAAGTGCCCCACCTATAGGCAAGTGGAGACTGAAATCCAGCCTGTGCCCCACTCTACAGAGCATGCACCTGAGGTGGGCCTAAACCTTCATGCAGGAAGGGGCACTTTTTTTTTTTTTTTTTTTTTTTTTTTTTAAAAGATGACCGGTAA